CCCCCCCCCTCCCCTTCTCCCCCCAAAGTCCATAGAAAGCCTCGGTCAAACGGCATTGCGCTCAATTTAAAAAATCCAGCGTACACACCATCAGATGACAGCAGAAGAATGCCTTTTGTGGCCATCTCACGCTGATGTTGGCTGGCAAATCCTGCAGCCGGCCTTGGAAATGTGCACAAGTCGTAACACTGCCGCATTCTTATTTCCATCGCTCCCTCCACTTTGCCTCTTTGACTTCATTTCTCTTTCCTCATGGAGTGTGGAAAGATTTGTATAGTCCGGAACCACTCCATAGTACCTTAAGATTCAAAATTTCAGATCTGTTTCTTCTCTCTCTAGCTTTGGTCTGCCCAGGGCATTGGTCTTAGGGTTTATATTTCACTGCTTTGTGTCTTGAAGCTTCGCTTTTCCGTGCCTTTGAGAAATCTAGTTTCTCTCTGGGAAGAGACAAGCAAAAAGCCACAAAACAACCGATTAGCCCAAATCGGTGTCACGGCCTCAAAAGTGGTTTGCTAATCAAGCTTTGGACATGGAGAAGATTGGCTCAGAGTGCAATGACACAACCCTCAAATCTTACCATATGTTACCCAAGGATGTTAACAAAATAACAGAAACTGAAATTGAAAAAAAAAACAACAACTTTTCTTTTATGAAGTCAAAACCAAAATGCTTTTTAACAAAACGAAAACTTACTAGAGCTACAAGTTACCGGGGGCGGGGTGGCCTTCGGGAAAATATGTTAAACGCCACCACTCATGAAGACCTGAGCCAAGAATTGTCAGGCAGGCGTGCTCACCACTAATCCCACCATGCTGCCCGAGCATGTATTTATTAGGCCCCTCCCTAAATGACTGTGATGATCAACACTTGAGACAAGACTTTCACTTGAGGAAAGGGCTCCCTGCATCTCCCTTATTTTGAGTGCGTGTGTGTCAAAGGAAGGGAGGACTAATGATGAAGAAGTCTGGTTTTCTGACAGGCGTGAAGTGCATTTCCAAACAAAAGGGCACCGATTTTCCAAAAAGAGCGGGACCAGAGCATTCATTAAAAAAAAAGAAAGAAAGAAAGAAAGAAAAGATGCAAATGTGTATGTATATGTATCATAGTTTATTTCAATCATGAAATTCAGTTCATTCTCATTTGTAATTACCGGTATATTATTTGTAGTTGATTTACTGTTTGGAATTAACCGATTCTTTACTGAAATTTAAAAAAAATGATCATGTTAAAAAAAAAGTCAAAACATTTATGTTGTTCATCCATCGCTTTCTGCATGTGAATATGTAAAATAGGTTATTTTAATACTTAATCATTCATTCTTACAGTGATAGTTATCCATGTTTGAGATGATGCAATAAGACACTGAACATATGTAAAATTGTTTATTGTACTCAATTTGACTTTTATTGTACAGTCACACCTCCGACCATTTTTAACAAGATAAATCAATGAAAATTACATTGAAAAATGAATATATTTATGTTAAAAGTATGTAATAATTCATTGCTGCATAAACAAACAAAATCCTAATGAGTCACATTTTTAATTACATTGAAAAATGAATATATTTATGTTAAAAGTGTGTAATAATTCATAAACAAACAAAATCCTAATGAGTCACATTTTTAATATTAGTTATAGTTCAATGTAAATTTGGGAACTCTATCCATAAAATGTTTTGTTTGATTGATTTTTTTGAATATAAAAAGTAAGCCAATTATTTCATGAGATTTGTAATAACTCTGTCCATAACGTTATATTTGATTGATTTGTTTTTTTATGTATAAAAAGTAAGCCAATTATTTCATGAGATTTGTATTTAAAAAAAAAAAAAAGGAAACAATGAGAAAATGTTGAAATTTGGGGGGGATGAACGCCGCATGATAGCTTTATCAATGCTTTTATAAGACGGTGGTCCTCCTTCCCGGCCAGATCAAACGCGACTATCTCGACCTATCCTTGACTCGGAACCACACCAACGCCTTTTGCGCCCATTCGCACAGATTAGTGTTCCATTGTAGATTAGTGCTTGGTGGGAACTCTTGAGCAGGAAGCTTCTGTCTGGAGTATTCTGTTTCAAATACCCCCAAAAACAAACGTATCAAATTGAATGTGGGAGCGATGAAATATTGGTTAGCATGTCTGTCTTGTGTCTTGACTCTTCTTTTGCACCTTCATAGCATTGCTAATCATGACGACTCGTTAAATTTTTTTGTTTACGAAGCAGGTTGACGAGGCTTGGCTTTTAATGTGGACCCAGTTATCAGTTTCGTGTCCATCGGTTATCTTGCCAGCAGCTTAATGTCTGCGCCGATAACATCTCCCAGCGCTGCCCTCTCGTCTGCACATGTTTACAGATGTGTGACGGAGGCAGGCGCCTTTCCTGTGCACGCCCGTGCTCCAACAACTCGCCACCGCCGCCGTTGGTGATTATCCTCGCTTTCAATGGGGAATCCACACGCGATGCAAATGTCCCGAGCTTGCAATTCAATTGCAATGCATTTACAATTCATTATACATAAGGGGAGACATATAGTTTTTAACCCGAATTTAAAATCATTTACACTTGGTCCTGACTTAAGTTCTGTTGGCAGCTTTTCACATTGACGTTCAGCATAACAGCTACATGCTGATTCACCATGTGTGCTTTGAACTCTGGGCTCCGCTAATGAAGAAAATTATGGATGACGAATACTCGCCCTTGTGGTTTTGTTGGCTTTTTTTTTTTTTTTCTCACAGACTCAGTGACAGTCAGTTGACGAGGTCATTCACGCTTATGGGAAACCTCCCTGAAGGCAGCGACAGGCAATCTGGCAATAAGAGCGGTGACTGTGTATTCATGTGCCTAACAGGTTTCGCCAACACGTGGAAATGTGAGCGTTTCAGGCTGAATGTTTGGTTTTACTCGTGCTTTGTTTGCACTTCCACAACAGAGACTCAGTTTTATGGCATACATACACAAATTCCACAAAAACCAGGTTCCGGACCAGGAGTTTCAGAATCGCTTCTCTCCCCAGGTTATGATCATGCTGTTGGGGTTATCTCGGTCCATTCATCCAAGAGGCTCAAAGATATGGAGACAGCTGTCCGCCTTCATCTTCATCATGGCTGCCATGCCCGTGAGTAATCTCTGATTTCACTCTGATTGCATCTCCAGAGGCCTGACTCAGCCATATTGGCTTTGGTCGCACAAATGTGGTCATGCTTCAGATGCTCATAAATACAGTACATGCATACAGTACATGACTGTGTATTGTCCATGGAAGTGATCTTGATGGATGTTCCTGGAGGTTCCATATTAAGTGAAGTGTCTCCCATTCACAGTCCAGTCATGTTTTTTTTTTTTACGTTCCTGGAGGTTCCGTTTTAAGTGAAGTGTCTCCCATTCACAGTCCTGTCATGTTTTTTTTTTTTTTTGATCGGGAACAGTTCACAGTTCAGTATGTTAAGATTTGGTGCGTTAACAACCAACGATCGTATCTCTTAAATTCGTAATAAAATAGTATAAAAGCTTCACCAAACTTGATTTTTTTTTTCATGTTCTGGTTCTTGGCCTAATTTGGGATCCTAGTTTCCTGGAAAGTTTCGCTCAAGTTCCAAGTTATCCAACCGCCAAACCGTTCCCACTTCAGGCAACTGTAAATGGATATTTCCTTTTTCCGCGCAGTTATTGTCTTGAGCGTATGACTTGTGTTTCCAGTATGGCTGGATAGGGAGGGAAGGGCGGAGGGGGGCTCAGCCAAGGCTGCCCTAGTCGACCCAGATCTTAGCGAGGTGATGGATGGACTCCAGAAACAACACATGTATTTGAGTCGGGCATTGTTGTCAATTCGGTGCCAGTGTATTATGTACGCGTGTGTGTGTTTGTTTCAACATGTGTGCATCCACTGTAAAAGGCAGTTTCATAACACACACAGATGCACGCACGCACGCACACTAGGCTGCTGTCAACTGGGAAATGTTTGGAAGGCATGGCAACCCATTTCCAAAATGGAATAAAAGCTTGGCAGCAGATGGACTCATCTGTGGGCCAGTGGCACTCCTTTTTCCTGTAATTGGAGAGCACTTTGTGGGCCTGGCAGGAGGAGTAGTGTCAGGGCCTGTGCAAAAAAAAAAAAAAAACAGCTAACAAAAACATGTGATTTGAATGAGTAGCACAGCACATTGACAGCAAACATACTATCCATCCGCTCCTCAAAAAGCTGATTTACAACGCCAGAGTTTCGATCTTCCGAGGAGTGTCTCTCACGTGTTAATGATACGTAGCGTTCAGGTGAAGTTTATCAACTGCCATAAACACAAACGCTTCGCCTAACTGACGTGAGTCAAGAGGGGTGGGGAGAATGTGCATCCAACGGAGCATATGGCATCCAGACGATGCTAATTCATGGAAATTTAAAAATGCGGTGGACCAGTGGTTAGCATGTCCGCCGCACGGGTCTGAGAAGCAGGCTATACCTTGGACTGGTCGCCGGTCAGTCGCCCACATAGCCAGAAATTCACTTTAGATCATGCAAAACATTTTATCTTGAATACGGAGTAGTCACTGAATCCGTACAAGGTTCCCCTGCATATTCACAAAACACTCCTTACAGATTTTCCCGGTCACCTAGTGCTCCGTTATTGGCTGGAAACTGTTCCGCTTTTTTGTGCTGAGGCTAAAGTCCTATCTAATATAAACGTATTGCTTTTGCGCCTTGTTGTTGCTACAGAACTATGTTGAAGTAAGTGGAGGAGGGTTATTATTTCTCAAATTACGCTTGCAGATTTTGACGATTCATGGCGGGGGGCTCTGTATTTTTATTTCATTTATTTCTTTTTTTTTTGTGTGTGTAGGCCAAGTCTCTCTATGTGAATGTTCTGGACTCTTTTTTTATGAAGAGTAGAATCATGCTGTGCTATAGTGTGGGCTAAGCTCGGTTTCCCATCGTTGGCATCGTGTTTGGCCTCCCATGCTTTCACATGCGATTAATTAACAATCAAAATAAACATGTTAAATCTTAAACCACTCAACGTAATCGTCCCGAGCATTTTCTATAGCGCTTGTCCTCTTTGCCGACTGAAGTCCTTGTCAAAACAATTGACGTTGTTTCTTTGATTGTTGTCATGCAAATGTCCCCTCATACTGCTTGGGTCTGAGATTCCCACTCGGGGGTGGCTGGCACGGAACAAAAGCCGGCATTAGGGCACATTTAAAGGATGTAAATCATACTGCCACGCCGGGCCAGAGGGGAGGGAATGGCATTCACTGGGAGCCACGGCGACAAAGTGTCGGGTTGCACTTTGTCAACTTGGTGTGGGGAATAGTCAATCAGTGACATGCGACACTGTCGGCCACCTGTCTGATGGCGCTAAGTGTCCAAGAGAGCGCGTAAGCACCTACTACGTGCATACGTGGAGACGAGGCGGAACCAGCCAGCTGTTCCGGACGGTGACTAAGAAGCTCACAATGTTCCCCTTCGGCAAAACATTTTAATCATCCATCCAACCTTTTTCTGTAGTGCTTGTCCTCATTAGGGTCACGGGTAACTGGAGCCCATACCAGCCGACAGAAGTCGTGGAGTTCGGCTTTGCAGCCACTTTGATAGTAGCTCCTCTCACAAGCACAATGAATACTGATATAATTCCTGTCAAATGATTAATTACTCCCCGTCCTCAACGTCATCTATTCATCCATCCAGTAATTTTCCACAGCACTTGTCCTCATTAGGGTTGAGTTCTAGCTGCCGCAGCCTGGACTTGGTCATCAGCCACCTGCAGATGATTGAATTGTTTGGTTCTCGCTTTTTGTTTTTCAATCTTCTTTCAAAAGAGACGTATTTTTAAAATAAGTCATGAATTAATGAACAGTGATGATGCTGATTCATAGTAGAATTGGTTGGATTCCGACCGCAATGATTACATTAAGTCGAGTAAACCACATTGATGGAACCAGCTGACAACCGTGAGGTACGACATCAAACTTCATTCGCCCTTATAAAACCCGCAATGAAAGTAGCTCTATCTATACTACATGAATGTAGTATAATTGCTGCTACGTGTTAAGTGGCGAATGTGTGAATGTACATTTGACTGTTTTTTATGTTTTGGGTTTTACAATACAGTGCAAAAATATTGGTCTCTTTTTTGGGGGGGGGGGGAGGGCTGGAACAGATTAACGGCATTTCCATTCATTTTTTTCGCTGAGAACGAATTCAACTTGCATCTCAAGGCATCACAGTGTGTGACTTCCTCCCATGGATGGATCGTAGTAACATAACTTGTCTCTTAGAACTCCTCAAAAGAACCGACAAAGCTCTCAAGAGCATCACTCCGATGCCACGCAGCGCCATAAAAGGCAGGCAGATGACTGACAGAAAATGACGGCACAGCTTTGACCTCGGCTCAAGTCCCTGAAGGGAAGTCGCGTTTTTTTTTTTTTTTTATTCTTTTCGCTGACAAAGTGAAAGAGAGTTTGCTTTGAAAACACAGACAATGTTTGCCCGCATGTAATCGAGGTCGTCCAGGCCGCTGTTGATTTGTGTAACGTAGCCTTTCCTGTCTACGTTGGCCTGCTACAATGCTCCCTATTTATAGTAGTTTTGCCTCAGATATTAGCACTCTGGCTTGCTTGGTTGCTCATTTCCTGCCAGAGGGGAAGTGCGTGCGTGCATGTGTGTGTGTGTGTATATTTGTGGTCTACTGACCTGTGGGCTAACTTGGCGACTGCACAGCTATTGATGTCCACGTAATGGAGTCGAAATATTTGGTTATTGTTCTTAACGTGTAGTGGTACCGTCATTTACAAGTAGAATCCAGCTCATATCTCTTAGAACCACATCAAGTTCGGCAGTTTGAGTAGCCTTCTTATGTTGTTTTTGCTTTTTGTTTCTCTTTGAACTGAAGTCTGGAGGTTTTGCGCCACCACTGAACTGTTATTTGGAACTCACCAAAAGACCATACAAACCATGAAGCCAATTCGGTTGTACAGTTTATAGAGTAGGTCAAATTAAGAAATGTTAAATCTTGGTCTCTTTTTTTATATCACAAAAAAAAAAACCTTGCACTTCAACAGGGGTGTGGAGACTTGATATTCACTGCATATGATTGACGGTAAAAAAAAAAAATCTTTTTTACTATTATACATTTGTCCATTTTTTGTTTTACTTGATTGAAAGAGTGGAATCAGTACTGCTTTTACCATTATTATTTATACGAGCAAGCCGACGTCCCATTGCTGCAAATAATTTTCCAGGCCGGCTGAGAGTATTTTCTCAAGGTGTCAGGGGGGTGTGTTTGTGTAAGGCAACACCTCTTATTCGCAGATGTCAGAGTTCGCCATTCTCCAAGGCCCGTCGTCGAAGGAAAGTCCGCCGCTGGTCCGGGACATCCTGTTTTTGGATATAAACAGTTGTGCAGCCGGGGATTTTCTTCCTTGTGTCGGGAAAAACAATCTGCGCACAGCCTCCCACCGCCACGGCGCCTTTTGATAAGGCTGATACAAGGCTTGAATGCAACTTAAAAAGAGCTGATAGAAGGACATTTTTTTTTTTTTCACGAAGCGGCAGCTTTTTGGAGAGAGTAGAGAGAGGTGGGATAAGAAAGCCCCCTCAAAAAATACTTGGCCGAGTCCGGTTGTGAGATGTGATGGGTGTTCTAGAGCAGGGGTTTGCTAATTTTTTGGGATCCTTATGGCAGAGAAATTTCAGAAAGAATTTAATCTCAGAAATACAATTGGACCAATCTTCTCAGTTTGGCATTCGAATATCCACCAAAAAGTTTGCAGAAAACCCCACTTATTGCTATTTTTATCTTTTTTGGGGGGTGGGGGGTATTTTTGAAACCGATCTTGTTTAATCGCATTTTCTCAAAGGTTATTTTTTCATGGCAATTCTTTGGTGATTTTTGCTATCGCGTTAAATAATAAATAATAGTCATATGGCGAGCTACCTGTTGTTTACAAGTCAAAGAAAAAAAAAGTGGATGTTCATTATTTTTGGCTAAAAATGTGCTTACAATTCAGGAATATACTTTTAGAGGTTTGGCAGGAGTGGTTCCTTTTTCAAATCATCTGTTATCATTCAATCTGTCCGCGTCGTATTCACACTCGCTCGTCATTCTCGTGTTTATTTCTCATTTCCAACTCATGAAACGCACGCTGGATTTAACGTGTTACACATTCCCTTTCATTTCGAACCCGGAAATGAAACAAGACAATCGGTGGCGAAAGGAGATTTATTTCCACGTCCAAGATCATCCCTCCTCACGCTCTCCCTGCGCATACAAACAGCTCCATTAACAAAAAAAAAAAAAAAACATAGAAATAGAAAAATAAACATTGATATCAGAACTATCCATTTAAGAATTTAATTCAAATATACAATTTGCATATAAAGAAACTACAAAAAAGGAGGAAGGAATTCAATGGCTGTGTTTACATGGACTGAAAGAACCAGTATAGTTTCGGGATATTCTTTACATTATTGGCACTACAACTTCTGCTTGTTGGAAGTCTGTGCTAGCAAACGGATCCATAATGGGTTGGTTATTATCAAAATATGAGTGTCCATGTAAATGCAGCCCACGTCTTAAAGCTTATTGAGCCTACATTCAGCGAGGGCAGGGACACATGTATCCTAGCATACACGGTCATTCCTGCGTCCACTTTTGAGTTGTAGGAAAGAGATGCTAAGCTAAGCTAACGTCGTAGAGCTCACCAGATGGGAAGACAATGGCGGATCAGTGTGTGTATGTGTGTTTTTATTTTTTATTTTTTTTAAGACTACTAACCCCTTACTTTCACACTCCTGAGCACAGAAACAACTCAAGTTCAAAATAGTCCCAATGTTTCAAGGCAAATGCTCTGCGTCCTTTGCGATAGTCCAACGTCTTTCCTTTTCAACTGAGTCGCGATGTTCCTTACCCCTTTTCATTTGTCAACGTCCGCCTCAATTCCTCTCAATCTGCTCGAGGTCCAGCTCTCCCCCGAGCTGGAAAATATCCCTGGATGAGGCGCGGTCACCCTTCCAGAGGGCAATTTTTTCCCGCGGCGAGCCGGATCTCGAGCCCACACTACACGCAGAGTCGCTGTCCAGTTCCTCATCGGACGAATCCTTGCCGTCTCTCATCGCCTCCTGCCGCGGTTCTAGTCCCAGCTCGGACACGGCGGTAAATTCCAATTGGCGGTGGCGCGACGGGGGCAGGCTGGATTGGCATGTATCGAAGAAGGAGAATCCGGGGCAACTCAGGCTCTGGAAAGTCTGGAGTTGCTGCAAAAAAACAACAAAAAAAATACGACGTTAATGTGAGAATGTGGAAGTAATCCAATAGAGTGAGGGCCCGCTATTTGCGCATCTGAAAAGTATTCACGTCACTTTTTCCACGTCATGTTAGAGCAGGGGTGTCAAAGTCAAATGGACGGAGGGCCAGATAAAAATTTTTGCTGCAAGCCGAGGGCCGGACTGATCGAATGTTCATTGAAAATTTTAAAAATAACCACATATTGTTGATTGAACCAAATTTAATTGACTGAAAACCTAACAAATATTTGTATAAAAATACCCATAACATGAATGAAAGAAGCCGATATTATTCAAGGCACTATCACTAGTCCATATTTTCTCTTTTAGCAAAAGTAGGCTAAATTTACTTAAAAGAAAAACAAATAATAGTGCAGTAATTTTCGATCATTTACTCGAATAAAATATTTTTAAAACATAATTGGATTGAAATACAATAAAATAAAGTGCAAAAATGTATAAACCAAAAACAACACTTTCTTCAAGAAAAAAA